AGGCCAAATAGAATATGTGGAAATACATGGAAAATTTTCTCTCACATGTTTGGAGGAGAAAATGGATGAAGTGAAAAGCATGATCTGTATGTGGGAGGGGAGGTAGGCAGGGAAATTTATGCTTAATGATCCCAGTCTGGTCTGTGAAATAGGTTATCTGTTTCTAAGGACAGCTAACCCGAGGTTTGAAAGTGATTGAAATTTCTAAAGTAACCCATTCAGACAGCATTTTAATGGATCGTTGCCTTTGTTGCCTAGCAGTGGACTCTGCAGAGGTATTACATGTGAGTATCCATTTGCAGGAATTGAGTCACGAGACTTTCTTGATTCTATTTAACAGCACTCAGCTGTAAGGCGAGTCGAAAAAAGGGAAGCAGAGAGAAGAGTTGGCAATGCTGTGAAAAACCTTTGTGGTCAGTAAAAGAATTTTATTCTCATTTTTCTCTAAATGCCATTAATTGTAATACAATTTTTAATGCCACGCTGAGTACAGCATCTTCTGAAACACTTACGATCACCTCTTAAGCCTGAGTGCAAATACCCAAGAATGAGGTAGGATCCTATATTGTTCATAAATAAAGCATTCTCTCGGAGAGGGAGGAAAAGCCATTTCTTTCAAGTCTCAAACAATATCAAGAGGGCAGCCTCTTACTGCTACTGTAGTCAGGACTGGGCACTTAAGGTACCCACACATGCTATGTCTCAGATGGCTTAGTCCTCATTCATGACCCACATCTGTGAGCTTGGCGGCGGTGGTGGTGGATGGTGGATTTTCTTATTTTTATTTCTATCTTAGTAGTAATATTGGAACAAGCAGTAGTATAAAACACTTTTAGCCTGTCAGAACACAGAGAACACAGACTTTAAATATACAGGGGCTCTCAAAAGTATATTAGAATTAATGTCACCCATTGAAGCACCAAGACTAATGCTGGATCCATTACATAATGGATATGTAATATCCATTACATAACTTTCCTTTTTTGGTAAATTATGTGCACTGGCGTCTCTATTCAAGTATCTCCTTCAGTTTTGTAACCCATGTGATGTCAGAGAACACAGTTTAAGATAACAATATTATTTACACAGAAAAGTAAACAAGTGCACATAATTTTTCACATTTATTTTAATCATGTGGATCAAGTCATTCAAAATTCCACTATTGTTTTTAATTAATCAGGCTACTTTTATAAATTCATTCTATATATTGCTTGAGTATTAACAAAAGAAATATCCTATAATTAGATTAAAAAATTTTAATATATAAATAATAGAGAGATCTTAAGTAACTTTTTCAAATGGTTAAGAATCCTAGTCACAATTAATTGAGGTTTCTTAAATCTCCATAACAGGGTCTTCACAGTGCTGTGTGATAGGAAAGATCATCAGCACACGATCCACATTTGCTTACCAAAGAACTTAAGAGAACATGTGGAAAGGCAAACTCAAAACACATTAAATCATATCTAAAAATAAAGGTATGTAGTTGAGATTATAGGATAAAATATATCACTAAAGGGAGACATGAGTCTCATGGGAGATTTCTCTGAGCAGAAAAGGGGAAAGACAGAGAGGTTCAAGGCATCTGGTAATGAGCGAAATCAGAGAAAGGAAAGAGGTTGAGTACCTTGGAGTCAAATTACCCCATGGTAGTCCCCTGGGGCAGCAAACATAGCAGATCCTAAACCAAACATCCGGGGGACACCTGGTGATGGCACAGAGATGATAGTACTGGGAAGGAACATCTGTCCTCCATCAAGGCTTGGGATAGTCAAGATGTGAGACAAAAGATCTACTTTGTTCAAACTGTAGCCAAAGTGGGCTCTAAGGAACCTTGAGAAAACTATGGTCTGAATTATGAAGCGACATACCCCAAGAGCCTGCATATGAGAGGGGTGGTTTTGAGCCCACAGGATAGAGTGTAAGACCTCACACTCTGTAGCATAACCCCCTGGATACACATTGTGGTTATGTCTACAGCTGGCTATATCCTTTGGTAAATTATTTAACTTCTCTGGGGTCTCAGTATCCTAATCTAAAAATTTAGATTAAAATTATATTATCTTACAGACTTTTTTTAAATCACTTTACAGAGGTATGATTGACATGCAAAAAGCTGTGTATATTTAATATATACAACTTGATGAGTCTGGAGATGATTATACATTTGTGAAACTATTAGGATAAACTATACCATAAACATACCCATTTCCTCCAAAAGTTTCCTCCCATGCTCTTTATTTATAATTGCTATTATCAGTATTACTAATCATTTTTCTTACAGACTTGTTATGATGATGAAACAACTTACTCTATGAAAAGCACTAGAACAGGGCCTGACACATAAGAAATACCACCCTAAATGTTAGCCATTATTATATAACGTTTATAGACTTAATGTTTGATGTTTACATTGCATCTCCTGTTAAACTTTAAAATATATCTTAAGGGGAATGAGGCATGTTTCACATTCAGATATGTTCGAAAGTGGAAAAGTGGGACTATGTCCCCTGTTTTACTTGGGAGAAACTGGTATAACCAATAAGTGTATTAAGGTGATATACTAGACATCATGTAATTCAGTAATAAATTAAGGACAGCATGAAATAGCACACATTCTGTAGGATTATAGAACAAAAGACTAGTCACGATGGGAATAATCTGAGGTTTCATGGACAAGAAACTAGTTGTCCAGCATCTTAAGGGATACATAGAGTTGAAAGTTAGATCAGACTCCCCCCCCATTCCAGTAATTTTTTTTGATTCTTTGGAAGTGTTTCTGATGTATTAATTAGACAAAGGAGGAGTGAATGTATATGAGAAATTTATCTACCCAGAAGAGGATTCCTTTGGGAATAATAGAGGTGGAGTGGATAAACCTTGATAAAGACAATCAGATTATAAGGTTGTCAAAAGTAAGAGGTAGGAAATGGCAAGTCAAAAACAATTATTGAACAGAGAAATGATGTGCCCTCATTTAGATGACCAAATGCCTTTTAAGTCTGCAATGGTGCAGACTTAAATACATAAAATTGTAGAACGAAGTTTAATTAACAGAACATACTATATAACATCTAAAAGTGAGAAAATTAGCCTGGCAGAAATATGCAGGCAGGATAATGAGGCCTAGCTCACTGCCAGGAGATTAGTGGCTTTAGATCTACTTCCCATATTAGTTCACAATCTCTTGACTAGGAAGAGGACATAAGTAAATGTAGGCTCAGTCATGTCGAAGATTGTGCTCTTTATAGATCTGGGTGTATCAGTTAAAGTCAGAAAACGTGGAGGGATGGAACTCTGGCAGACAAAACCTGTCGACACTTTCCCTGTGGCCAGGACCTGAAAGAGCTTTTCTTCATCCAATATATAGTTTCTTTCCTTTGCTCTCGGTAGTAGTAGGGACTATTTGTAAACTGTCTAAGCAATGACACATCAAACACAGGCTTTAGCTGAATCACATGCTTCCAACCTTCATCTTTTCTGGACCTCTCTCTGCAACTCTATCTCCCAACCGGGTCCCACTGACACATCAATCATTGTGCCTGTAGTGCAGCAGCCCACTTCAAAGAAAGGCATCCCACTCAGATCATAATTGGATAGCCTGAGGGGGCTATTTTTGGTACCATGTGCACTCACCTACTTAGGACGGAGGTAACTAGACCAGGGGTGAGCAGCTGGAGTATAAAGCTGCTTCCTGCTGATGGGATCCCAGAGCTGTGTTGAACTCTGAGAGACCTTCCAGGCCCTGTGACAGAAGACCTTCTGCTCTTCCCAAGGCCGGTTGTTTGCCTTTCCCTAGGATTTTTCACACAAATCCCCCATCCCCAATAGCTGAGGCAACTTGAGAGTCTCTTATCCTTAAAATCAAGGATCTGAAACACTTATGCAAATCTTTAAGCTAGTGTCTTTGGCCACAGACTATTGTCAACTAATATTTATAGTTTTCTAAGTAGACATAAACAGATGCTTCTTTCAGAGATAACCTTTACTACCAGAGGGCATTTTTCAAGACTCAAAAAACCTACCAGACTCCACTAAAGAATCTCTTATGGTAGAATGTCAGAAACAAAGGAGGTAGCAGAAATGTATATTTTTGGCAAGGGCTCTGCCTGGCGTTCCTTAATGGTATCATATAGTTTTCTATATTAAATGGTGAAAAACCCTAGACCAGGGGATTGAAGTCCTAGCTATGGGCCCTAATCCTAGCTGTATTTCTTACTATTTTTTTTTTATTGTAGGCAAGACCTTTGAGTGTAATTAATATTCACTATATTCTGGACAGGCTCTTTCTTTGATGTATATTAGTGTTTTCTCAGACTTGCTTAAAAAAAACATAGATTTAAAATAGAAGATAGGGGGCGCCTGGGTGGCGCAGTCGGTTAAGCGTCCGACTTCAGCCAGGTCACGATCTCGCGGTCCATGAGTTCGAGCCCCGCGTCGGGCTCTGGGCTGATGGCTCAGAGCCTGGAGCCTGTTTCTGATTCTGTGTCTCCCTCTCTCTCTGCCCCTCCCCCGTTCATGCTCTGTCTCTCTCTGTCCCAAAAATAAATAAACGTTGAAAAAAAAAATTAAAAAAAAAATAAAATAAAATAGAAGATAGTTACCAAATACTCCAATATTTGCATTGTCTTAGAGTTGAAAGTAGTGAGTCCATATCTCATCATAAATCTCTTTTTCCAAATTGTTTTCCTGGACATAGTTCAAGTAGAGCAACCAATCTATTTATGTCAGTCCTTGCTCTTTTTAGTGACCTCTTATTGAGCAATGTAATAGATGAAGAGGCTGGTTAGCAAACAATAGCATGGTACAGAAACACTGACTAAGGCCCTCTCCTCGACATTCACATTGCTCCCTTTCTATCCCTTGGGAAAGAAGACACAAGCTGGTTATAGAAATGACAGCTTTATAGCACTGACTGTTCACCCTGAAATCACCTCAAATGTGAAACGTATTTGTACACATGAATAAATGCATACTCATACATTCACAGCTTATCTTACTTGGTAAAATGACTTGTTGCTTCTAGGTCTGTGTCTTGTGGACGAAGATTATTATACACATATTTCAGGTCTTGAATTCCACTCAGCTCAGGCAATCCTGCATGTAGCATCTTAGCAGGTAAACAAAACAAAAGCAAACAAACAAACAAACAAAACCTCAGAATAAATGTAAATCAGATCTTAGTTAAATTTGGTTAAGTTTACTTGGTTAGTTCTACAAATGCATATACACTTAAACTTATACAGCAAAGCCTTTCAGTTTATAATCATGAATGGATAGAAGTTCATGATTTTTTAACTTCCTGTATTTACTAATAGAAGCAACAAAACAACAATAAGAAGAAGAACCAATAAAATTGTCAAAGTGCTTGCAGATTAATAATTTAATTTTATTGGGGCGCTTGAGTGGTTCAGTCAGTTAAGCATCAGACTTTGGCTCAGGTCATGATCTCATGGTCCACGAGTTTGAGCCCCGTGACAGGGTCTGTGCTACAGCTCAGAGCCTGGAGCCTGCTTCAGATTCTGTGTCTCCCTCTTTCTCTGCCTCTCCCCTGCTAGTACTCTGTCTCTCTCTCTCTCTCAAAAACAAATGAAACTTTAAAATAATAATAATAATTTAATTTTATCTTCATCATAAACCAGTGAAATAAGCATGATAGTATTATTATCCCTATCTTGTCTTCTTGTAGAAGAAGCATAGTCAGCATTGGATGGTAGAATGATAAGGGTTCTAGTATCAGAATTTCTGGACCCACCATTAAAAATCTCAATGATCATGAAAGTCTCTTAACCTCTTTGAATCTCCATTTTCTCATTTTGAAAGTGGAGATAAGAATACTCAACATGTTCCGGGGGCAATCAAATGGCTAATGAATAAGAAAGAGCTTTATACATTATAAATTATTACACAAAAATTATATCGCAATACCCATTTTAAAGAAGAAAAATTTAATCCCCAAAAAAGCAGAAGTGTCCAGATCAAATGGTGTGTAAGCACAGAGTATAAAACTCATCCCTCTGGCTCTTAATCTTATGTTCTTTCATGACTCTATGACTCATACTCTAAGAACACAATTTTCCCTATTTAAGTGGTGATTACATTTATTAAAGGTTATTGAAGCAATGCAGTAATTAAAGATAAAATTGTACAAAGGCTCAGATATTTTTCTGGCAGCCTTTGGAAAAGTACTGTGTTTATATTATAGTGTAGACTGAAGAGATAATATTCTTTTTAGTTATAGGCAAAAAGAAAGAAAAATTTTTTTGAGAAAAAGTAGATCTTTCTGAAATAAATTTAAACTTTGAGAAAGAAGAAGGAGGAAGAGCAGGAGGTGGAGAAGGAGGAGAATGTCAACAGTACCTCTATGACTAAGATAAATTATTTCCTGCTCTGGAATAGAGGCACTCTTACAGTAGTGGGAAGTTAAGAACAATGCTGCTAATTCTAAAAATGTAAAGGAAACAGTGAGAATATGGTTATGAAGGACGGGTAAATTTATGATTGACTTGATGAAGTTCAAGTGAGAAAAAAATGGATTTGAAACTGTTCTTTCCTACTGTCCCCACCCAGGCAGAGGGAACAGCATGTATAGATGTACCAAGGAGCACAAGATGTCTTTCATTATTTCACAAAAAGAACTCCAGGAGAGCATCTGGAACATAAGATATCCTGTGGGTAGGTGACAAGAGATGGGCCTGAAAAGGTAAGTAGGGTAGGAACTTTTAGCTATATAAAAGTTTTGTACTTTATCCTAGAGGCAAAAGGAAGCTCTTTTAGTGTTTTTAAATGGGCACTAAATAATTGAATTGTGTTTTTAAAAGATCATTGTGGTTATTTGTGGAAAATGGATTAAAGTGAGGCCAAATAAGAGACTGGACTAGGAGAATGTTTATGAATAAAGAATAAAGTTATTGGATTTTAAATATATTTAGGAAGTAGAGTTGAGAAAACTGGGTGATTAATTGGATAAATTTGAAGGGCTGGGTGGGATCTAAAGTATATAGCTGTAAATATAGATTTGGGAATCGTTAACATATAGATAGTAATTGAAACCTCGAAATGGATCAGGTAGTCGTGGAAAGTTGTTAACTGCTTCTCCTTATGGATGATCTAAACTCATAATATCTAAATTTGAGCAAATTCTCTTCTTCCATAAACTCTTCCTTCTTTTTCCTCTCCATCTCCAGTGCAACCATTGTCCAACTAAGAAGAAATTCATATCTTCTTTGATTCCCTCTTCTAACTGATTCCCAATGTCAGTAACATAAGTCTATAAAAACCACCTCAATGGTCTCTTGTATTCATTCTCCTTTCCATTGCAATTATTGTCTTAGTTCAGCTCCTCATTTTCATTTGCTTAGATAACTTTTCCTACTTCTCCAATCCCTCTGTCTCTAATTACATAGCTTCTGAGTTGTCAGTTCAAAATCAAAGCTAGATGATGGTACTGTCTTCATCAAAAGCAAAGAAACTTCCAGGTTCTCAGGTGTCTGTATATCAAAGTCCAAAATCCTCATTCTGATCATAAATGTCTTTTGTAATCTAACTGTGATCTGTCACTTCATCTATTGTCTATATAGGTCTCCCTGTGTACCACAGACTAAGTACATTTGATTACCTCTATTTCCAACGCATGTCACGCCCATGTTCTTTGAGCTTCCACACATACTTATAGTTTTCTCTCAGCCGGGATTCCCTTCCTATCCCCCCTTACCTATTGAAATTCTTTTTGAATGCTTAAATATTTTTTTCACCTTGAAACACCAGATTGTCTTGATAAGATTTAATTACTGCTTTTTTTGTAAAGCAATCGTATCATTTTACTATGTTTGGTTCACATATATGTTTGTCATATTTGATTTTAAGATCTTTGAGGACAGGAACTGAGTTTTTATTTGATATTAAATTTTTTATATCACCAAACATGGTACCTTGCAAATGGAACTTAATGAATGTCTGTGAAATAATGCATGCATGCAGGAATGTGTGAATGAATGAATGAATGAATAAATGAAAAAAATGCCTAGCTTTGTTGGGCACTGGAAGCCTGTAACTAGTAAGTTCAACCCCAACTACTAAACTTAAAATCAACTATAGAGAGGTATATTCTCAGGAGCAACTAAAGTGTAGAGTAGGCTTTATCTTTTCAGTTCTGTAATTAGAGTTCTGGACACATTTGTGTACTTCTTGAGACAGTTTCCCCTTTATTAGACTTATGATTCTCTACTTGCTAACAGCTTTCTTCCCTAGATCTGAATTGCTTTCTGGTTTCTCTAGATACTCAGAATTCACACCTGCTTGCTTGGAACTCTGTCAAACATTTTCTTGGGAAGTATACCCTATACTTAATCCTTCTTCTCCACCCCCCACCCTGGCCCCCTCATTATGCACCAACATCCAAGTGCAGATGGCTTCAAAGTAGATGAACTCAGCTTTCTCCTTGATATGTGGCTAATTAAAGGTAACGAGAGCAAATTTTGCCCTTGTTGATGTGCTCTGTTCCCCAGAGAGGCGGCTGTGAGTATTGTGACTCTGCCACTGGAGTAAGGATGACCTCATACCCGGGTCCACTTAGCCATGTCTGTTCTCTGACCCACAGAGATGCGGTTCAAGTACCTCTTAGCCTAGATTATATGGGCAATAACTTTGGGGCAATAGGAAAGGGGAAGGGTGGCTAGGCTAGTATAGGTAATGAGCAGATACAGGTGATAAACAGATAAATTCCTTTTTAAAGGACAGAAACACTTTTAAATTTTCTACTTTTATTCTCCAAGTCCAAATCTATTTTGATAGTTATGCTTAGGGAAGCAGACACTCTTTGCCACCTCATAGAGCAGTTAGAAAGATTTCTTCTGGGAAATATCTGGTATAATAATGGGTGTGATAAACATTTTAAACTGGGTGAATGGTCCCTATGTTCTTTGGGAGCCTTCCATAATAGCTGATATTGATTTTTTTAATGAGAGAAAAGCTGATGAAATACAGGCTTTTATGTTAGTGACTTCAGCCAGCAACACTCTTGGGTCTCCTACAGATGTTTTGCTTTTAAGCAAGATGGGAATTTCATGGATTATTTTTTTCCCTGATTTTCCCAGGAGCAAATAAAAAGGACTGTGGATATCTGGAAACATGCTGCTCTCAACAAGGGATGAGCCATTAACTCCATAGTAGACTTACCAGACACTTGTGGCTCATAATCCTGGATACTGACCATTCACAGAAGATAGAATTTATGACCCATGTCAATTATTTCTCAAGTTGTAACTGGGTCATGGAGCAGTAGATTTAGTTCTTTTAAAAGAAGTTAATACAATAAGAGTCAGTTTGAGAGAGAATTGAGGGAAATATTGAGTACCCACATGGGCAGAAAATACTCTTTCATGAATTTAAATTTGTTTTTATTTTATAGGAAGCTATGCCAGAGAAAGTGTGGTCCTGAAACCTTACTGATGCTTTGATTATCTACAGAATCCCATAAGAAAGAAACCTCGAAAGCAGAGAATGAAGAGGTAAATGACCAGAAACAGAAGTAATATACTGCTGTTTCATATGTATTCATTGTTCTAATTGGTCCACATTGCTTCTGTCTGTTTTAATTTCTGTGAGAGTTTAAATCTAAGATTATTTGTCTAATCTGAATTAGGGCTCTGTATTGCCAAAATTTCCTTCTTAGCCTAAAAGTCAAGACCTGGAAGATTAAAACATACGAAGATTGTTTGGATATACTTTGTAACAGAAATCTTCAATATTTGATTTTAATACTATTTTATGAAAAATTGCTTCAGTACTTGACTCAAACATCATTTATCTCCTTCTTTTAAATGAAATAACATTACATAAGCTCTTTAATAATTATTTTATATATTATGACACATGTGCTAAAAGTTTTCTTTTCAGGTAGGTAGATAAGTTTATTAAGTAAGAGGAAAAAGTCCACCATAGCCTTCTCAATTTTTCCAAAAGGCTGTCCTCTCACATTATTTTAACATGCTTACTTTTGTTATTCAGCATAATTTTAGTGTCACCTGAGAAATAGCATAATCTATATTTTGTGCTTTTCTATTTTGTGTTTATTTTTAAAATGTCTGTTGCTGGTTCAAGTAGTTGTTAGAATATGGTACTTACTTGTGTGCAGTTATTTATAACATTATAGACATGTAGAAATGCTGGACACTTCATTTATTGTATACACAAATTTTATCTTCCTTATCATATTGAAAACCTTAAGGCTGACTGGGTCTTCTATGTAAATGCATCCTCACAGTTTCTGGTATGTAGTAAGTACTCATGACCTCATGGATTCATGATTTGGAGCCAGTTAGAGCCCAAGAGAATATTAGAATGATATGACCTGGATTTTTACATGTAAATGGAGTCGAGATCACAGAGTTAGTCCTTGTAGAGTTTCCTCTGTGGTATGAACACAGATTATGAACCATTAGCCATCTCATAATTGCAATATGGCCTAATAGAATTGGGAGTTAGAATGCAAATCTACCAATATGAATCACTGGCTATTATTGAAATAGCCAACTTGAAAATTCTAGACATGGGCAAAATTTATATATCTAGTTTACACAAAGAAACCAAAGTGTCCTTATGCATGAAAGACTATATGTTTATAATACTTTTTTAAATATAGATTTTTTAAGACAGAGTAAGGTACATATGTTGAAAGTTACAACAAGGATCCAATCAAGTCTTCATTGCAACAAGGTCAACATTTATTCAATACTACCCAATAGAACTTTTCTGCAATAATGGAAACGTTTTTGTTTTTTTTTTTTAATTTTTTTTTTCAACGTTTATTTATTTTTGGGCCAGAGAGAGACAGAGCATGAACGGGGGAGGGGCAGAGAGAGAGGGAGACACAGAATCGGAAACAGGCTCCAGGCTCTGAGCCATCAGCCCAGAGCCTGACGCGGGGCTCGAACTCCCGGACCGCGAGATCGTGACCTGGCTGAAGTCGGACGCTTAACCGACGGCGCCACCCAGGCGCCCCTGGAAACGTTTTATATCTGTGTTGTCCCATATGGTATCACTAAGCCACATGTGGCTATTGAGCACTTGACATGTGGCTAGTGAGATTGAGGAGATGAATTTTAAAGTTTAGTCAATACTAATTAATTTAAATTTAAATAACCACATATGAGTAGGGGATATTATATTGGACAGTACTCTTTTGGATTAATAAAGATCTAGCATAATAAATTAATTGAACTCTACGACAGGTACTATGCTGAGTGCTTTATATTAATGATCTAATGAGGTTATTATGAAATATAAATCAATTAGTACACATAAAGCACTTAGTATAATGGTCATGGAAAACATTCACTATTAGGTCATTTATTCATCAATCCTGCAAGGTAGACTCTATTATCTTCATTTAATAGATGAGGAAACATAATCTTATTGGAGTTAAGTAACAGCACCTAGTAGAATTATTCTCATCTGAAGGTTGTAAACCAGCTATTTGGGATTATTGTATTGACTCCAAGCACCATATTGATTTACCAAAGGTGTGTTTCTCTCCTACATTTTGCTGTAGTTACTAGTATATATGGGTGTGCCCAAAGGAATCACCTCCTCCTTCTCCCAGAAATAGTTCTGTCAGATTCCTTTTCTCTCTTCCTGTATATATAGTGTCCATCTCTTTAACATTGGACAGTGAAATGAAATTTTACACTTAAATCACTTAATTTTACACTTAAATTTCACACTTAAGTCAACAGAGAGCATACAGGAGCATGACTCAGTAGACCCAATGTACACCACTAAATGTACTATTCTGTGGTTGAGTTGCTAGCAAGTTGTCTTATATTCTTGACCCCTAATTTTTTAATCTGAAAAATAGGCAAATGATCAAAGGCAGAAATTGGGAGGGAAGCCAGGAAAAATCCTTGCTTGGTCTACATCATTGGGTTGTTATAATGTGTAAATGAGATAGTACTTTTTAAAGTACTTTTGAAAAATCCTAAAGCATAATAACAACTGATATAATACTCTAAACTACTGTCCTTAATCTTTACTCAAAATATACTGAGATAACCCATGAATACATCAATATTATTGTGAATAGAAATGTTTGAGACAATAACTGTGAATTAATGTAATGAATTATTAAGAAATGTGTTTATAAGCTGTACAGTGGTACTTTTAGTATGCTCATTCCTTTCTCGTTTGAATAGCTCTTTGGGGAAATCCAAGCCATTAGCAAAAATAGACTACTGGAAGAGAGATATATATGAAGCTTATTATTTTTGTTGTTTCCTCAAGGGACTTACCATTTCTAGCAGGTTCAAGAGCAGTCGACTGTGCCTTCTGACAATATTATAAGCTCGACAGCAAAGCTCCACAAAATCTTGGAAATGCTGTGGGTTTTTCCCACCTTCTGTAATAAAGTACTCCATCTCTGAAGTAAAAATAAAAGGTGCTCGGTCCCTACAAACAAAAACGAATAGCAACCATAAGCAGGAAGAGAAGTGGTGTGTAGAGTTCAATTAGGCATTTACAACAACTTATTTTCATTTGATATTTTTTTTTTGTATTTTCTTTTTTTCTTTTTTCTTTTTTCTTTTTTTTTTTTGTATTTTCTATCTACTGTAAGGAGTGGGACTATCTCCTTTATGGAGTAGCTGAAGAAACTTGCTAATTATGGGCTTTGAATAGCCTAGCTGGGCTGCAACAGAGAGGGAAGAACATCGATCTATATATCAAATATTTAATTCCAAGTTATATTTGATAATCAAAAATAAATAAGACAGATCATGTATTTGACTTCATGGTTTTGTTATTTAAGTTTTCTCTTTTCTTTTCTTCTTTTCTTTTCTTTTTTTTTTCCTTAGAAGATATTGACTATTTAAGGGAAAAATTTTCAGGTAATGACAAATTCTTCCAGAAGGCAATCTGAAAGAAAAAAAATGTTACCAATTCACTGTTGTATGCTTAGTAAGGGAAAAAAAAAGAGTCAGCTGTATTTTATTTCACACTAGGTCAAATAAAAATACGGATCAGAAAGGAGGAAATATGTACAAACCATGTTGATATGTATATAATATCACCCCCTGTAGTTATCAAGGTTGAAAAACAGGAAAACAGAAGACCAGAAAGATGATCCTGTTTTCTCTATTATTGCCATTTTTCTCATTTTATTTGAGACATAAAGAGACCTAAGATGAAGCATATCTAAGAGATTAGCAAAGAAAGGATTGGAAACACTTTTCTGTGATGTGAAGAACAACGATGAGACAAAGAATTTTGAGGGGCGCCTGGGTGGCGCAGTCGGTTAAGCGTCCGACTTCAGCCAGGTCACGATCTCGCGGTCCGGGAGTTCGAGCCCCGCGTCAGGCTCTGGGCTGATGGCTCAGAGCCTGGAGCCTGTTTCCAATTCTGTGTCTCCCTCTCTCTCTGCCCCTCCCACGTTCATGCTCTGTCTCTCTCTGTCCCAAAAATAAAATTAAAAAAAAAAAGAATTTTGACACTGATTTGGCCTACGGTCCTCTAGAAACATTTGAGATAGGAGTATAGTTTTGATTAAAACATTGTTTTAAAAGTAAAGACATTTTTATTTTATTTATTTAAAAAAAATTTTTTTTAACGTTTATTTATTTTTGAGACAGAGAGAGACAGAGCATGAACGGGGGAGGATCAGAGAGAGGGAGACACAGAATCTGAAACAGGCTCCAGTCTCTGAGCTGTCAGCACAGAGCCCGATGCGGGGCTCGAACTCACGGACTGCGAGCTCATGACCTGAGCCGAAGTTGGCCGACTGAGCCACCCAGGCGCCCCAGTAAAGACATTTTTAAATAAATTCAAATAAAACATACTTTAAGATTTCAGCTTGGCAACATAGATATAATTAAGGTTAGTCTAAGCAATAACTGAAAAAAATCAAGGACTATTGAGAAAGCTTCTTTTTTTAAAATAAAGAATGATTATGTTCTTTATTGTTGCTATGCTTAGCATTTGAATAAATATATAACAGAGTGGAAAATTTTGCTAATCTGATTTAGGCCTCTCAGAAGTGTGGCTATTTAAATCAGAAAGCTATAACCTAGGCATTTTGTAGGTGACGTGGAGAAGCAGAATCTAATCACAGGCAAAGTATTTTATTTATTTATTTTTTTTTTAATTTTTTTTTTCAACGTTTATTTATTTTGGGGACAGAGAGAGACAGAGCATGAACGGGGGAGGGGCAGAGAGAGAGGGAGACACAGAACCGGAAACAGGCTCCAGGCTCCGAGCCATCAGCCCAGAGCCTGATGCGGGGCTCGAACTCACAGACCACGAGATTGTGACCTGGCTGAAGTCGGACGCTTAACCGACTGCGCCACCCAGGCGCCCCACAGGCAAAGTATTTTAAAGAAAATAATCTACCTCTATTTGGCTATGGTTATTTTATTTTATTTTATTTTATTTTATTTTATTTTATTTTGTTATTTATTTATTTATTTATTTATTTATTTATTTATTTATGATCCATACTACCACTGAATATCTGACTGAGAGGCTGGTGTAACAATATCTCTACTTAACTTTATATTCATTCATTCATTCATTCAACAAAATTTATCAAGCACCTAGATACTGAGGAATGTGTCTTAAGAATCAAGTTCAAATTTAAAAATTTCTGCTTAAAATCCTTTTATTTTTGGCTGTCATTGACTTATCCAATGTATATGCTATAAGTATACTTTACAGCTCTTTATTTTAGCCAAGCTGGAAGCAGAGCTATTGAAAACAGGAGTTATACCACGGGTTCTAATCCTGGACCTGTTATATCTCAATTTCCTCATCTCTGAGATGCATAGATAATACTGAGCTCTTAGAATTACTGTGAAGATTAACTGAAAACATGTACACACTGCCTGATACACAGAGAGTTCTACATGCTTATGAATTGCTATGGTTAGAAGCTCTATGCAGAGGAAACAGATTGCAGGTTTTCAATCATATTCTAGCATTTACTAGTTCTGTGGCCCTGAGCAAGTTATTTGTCCTTTCCATGCCTTAATTTCCTCCTCTGTAAAACAGAGACAAGGGCACTTGACTCCTGTGACTTTTGAGAGGATTAAATGGGTTACAGCATGTAAAAGTTTTAGGACACAGTCTGGCACATAGTAAGCACTGAACAAATGTTAAATACTATTGTTAGTCCTCAAACTAATAACAAATGTGTTCTCAGAGCTAAATCTTGTCATAATTAAATCTCTTTCTCTTCAAAAATGCCATCAGTTTAGGGTATCTGGGTGGGTCAGTCAGTTGAGCTTCCAACTCTTGATTTTGGCTCAGGTCATGATACCAGGGTCATTGTATGGAGCCCCACATCAGGCTCCATGATAACTGTAGAGCTTGCTTGAGATTCTTTTCTTCTCTCTCTCTCTCTCTCTCTCTCTGTCTCTCTCTCCTCTGCCCCTCTCCCCCACTCATGCTCTCTCTTTTAAATTAAAAAAAAAAATGCTACCAGTAAAATTTCAGGCTTCCTTCAAGGTTTAATTTACTCCCAGATCCTCCATATAACCTTTTTGCATAAGCCCTTAAGTGGACCTTTGAATTTGGTAGCACTTTTTATATGTCGCTCACACATGTAGTCATCACTATTGTTAACATTTTAGTAGCATCTTAGCAATATCCCAGACTTCCATAATCGGAAAAAAAATTTTTATATATAAAAATTTTCCAAATTTTTCATACTCTCTATACTATATTTACTATATTGAATGGAACTCTTGAAATAACTTCAAGAGAGTCAATTTTACAACTTCCTGAAATTTTCTTTTCTAATGTGATAGATATGCTTTCTTCTTCCATATGCTTGACCAAATGGATTTCCCTTGGAAAGTTGTTGTAATTATGCTCAAGTTCATGTGATGACACATTTCCTCCTTCCATGGTAACCACCATTATGAGTCAGATAAAGAAACACCATAGCAGAAAATCAAATACACAAAATAAGCATATCTAGGTTAGAGAAAATATAAACTAATAATAATATTGAAGGACCCAGTTTTAGCTGTGTTTAAATATTATCATAATCTAAATTTTCCATGGGCCCCCAAAATAAAATGTTACATTTTTTTCTATATGATTTGCATGAGTCACTGCTGAGCAATTTTTAAAATAATGTAGACTAAAATTTTTTTGTAAATGGAAAGAAGTTGAACATGTGAAACAGAATCCTATCACATCCCTATAAGCTGTAAAAATCGTAGCTGGGATGTGCTTTATCAATTCCCTCAAATGTGAACCTAATCCCAGGTCACAGAATTAATGTATTGGAGCCTATGTCTGAAGTTTAAGCGATACTTATAAATTTGAGATATAAATTGGTTATGGCATGAGAGAAGGTTGAAAACTATTTGATCTCCTAGAGTCCATACTGATATTACATTCTGAATCATATGCTGAAAATCTGTCACTTGTAGCTGGACAAATTTACCAAGAAATTTCTTGGTTTCTATTTCCCTAATAGTGTTTTTACCATTATTTGCCTAAATCCTATCTGTTCTTGCTGCTGTACCTTTTACTTGTATTTTTTCCTGCTTCTGGCCATGTTTCTCTCTCTCTCTGTGTCGCACCTAATGCTCTATTTTTTTTTCTAATAATTCTTCTCTAATTTACCGATCCCTCACTGGTTTCTCTCTTACTTTGCCTTTTCTTTTACCTTGGCTCTACAGCTAATATATTTCATTCTTTTTAGTCTCTAGTAGTCTTATGTTTTTTTTCTCCCAAATAATCTGTGTGATTATCAAGAGGAGAGGTATTATTTTATCTTTCCTTTCTATATTCTTAATGTCTCAAACAATATTTTGCTGATATTCTGCAATGGATGCAACAGTAAATATACTTAGTTCACACAGTTAAAAACTTGTGATAATTTAACATTTATGTGGGAAGGCTGTATGAACAATCTTATTGGTTACAATTCTGTCATTTTGTTGTCCAAGTTAATCTTTTTATTAACTTATAATCAGTCCTTCTCTGAAAGTATTATTCTGTAAAACTGCAAGAATATTTTATACATTTCCCAATATACGTGAGAAGTGAGTAGTGCTTTACAAATGTACATAGACTTGAGAATTTTAAGGATATTTCTATTATAAACAAATACTAATTATTAAGGAGATAAATTATTTCCCATATCAATGGTTAATAATTTGCTGTTTATAATTACTTATGCACAGAGTTCCCCTTTAATCATTCTGTAGATGTGATCTCCTTGTATAAAATCACTAGAATACTAAGATCATCATTAAACATTTACACATTTTTATTTTACTGAGGGTACATAAACTTTTAGGATATGTCTCTCCACTGGGTAACTAGGGAGGCATGCAACCAAACAAAATGTTAGAGTACTATAGTTATTTATCAACAAATATTTATTGATCATCTATAATAGATGTGTATAAGGCTTATAGGTGATGTTACATATTTTAAAA